TCCTAGAACACTAAATGGGCAATCCATTAGATTATTTCGTGTGGGGTTTCATTAAAAATATGGTTTACTCTACTCCAATAACAACAATGGAAGATATGAAATCGAGAGTTACAACTGCTTTCAATAGTTTGACTCCAGACTTGATCAGAAGCGCTACACATGACAATATTTTGAAGAGATTACATGTTTGTTTAAATAGAGGTGGAGATGTGTTTGAACATATTCTGAAATACACTGACGATTAAATTAACTCATTAATTTATGGGTTTATTATTTTCAGTTCGTGTTTCAGCGTTAATAAAACTATTGTTTGAAGAGAAGTTTCATTCGACGGTTGAGGAGTATTTTGATAATTATCTTTTCATTTTATTATCTGTGACTAATTGAAAAACATCAAACGAAATCTGTTTTACAAAAATGAGTGATAAACTAGGAAACCATGTCAATTTCCGTTTGAAACAGTTTATCTCGAAAATTGGATGTAGAGCTCAAAAATGTTGAAATATACAGGGTGTTCCATTTGAAAAAATTGAGTTCCACTCATTTTTGTTTTATGATTTACCGAACATAAAGAATGAAATCAAACTTTGGCAGCAACTGTGGCACGATGGGCTTAATCCAACAAATCTTACAGTTGTTGATGTCCTAAAATAAACAAATTCCTTCTTTCCCGAAAAGGAAAAAGCATTGAAAATTTTGATCGCTTTACCATGCACGACCTGTACAGTAGAGCAATCCTTTAGCAGCCTCAGGCTGGGAAGCACCATCGCAGAAGATCACCTTAATGGTCTGACCATGATGAGTGTACACAGAGCTTATAATTAATAAAAACCTAAATAATTTTAATGATAAAGTGGTTGAAAGTTTTGCAGAAATCCCCGCAGGTTACGTTTCAATTAAATATTATTTTTGTTGAAATAAATAATCATTACTGTGATTCAAATTTTGATTAAGTTATTGTGCTGCCGAGGGCTGATGAAGTTTTATACAACATTGATATCAGAACCGTTCTTATTACAATTGTCATCGAGGCAAAGACTTCCAAAATGTAGGTGACGCTTGATGCTTTCGACTGTACCAGGCGTTCATATTTTTTATCCTCCATAATATTGCCCCATTGCCCCCCCTTGTCATAAGCTGGCGACGCCCTTGCAAAATAGTATTTGAACTGAAAGAAATTTATCATTCCTACTTGAGGATCGGTTTTCAAAGTCAGAACCATCATTGAGCGTCAATAGCACCTGAAAGAACAGCATTTGTCATACAGCTTCGATTGTTCTCTAACCTGTCGTCCTAACCTAACCTAACCTAACCTAACTCCACTACACGAAGCAAATCTAGACTCTCTTCGAAAAAAAAGTTCATTCCCATTTTATGTTTGATACATTTTTTATCAATTGCATTATTTTTTCTGTTTTGCTTGTACTTATCGTCACAGGCCAGAAATGTTTGCATAAAACTATGCCCCACTTCTTATTATCACTGTTATACACATGAGGCACATGGAAAAACGTCTAACTCGACCTTTACGAAACATGTTTGTTGTATTTTCCATACCCTTATCGAAGAAATTGGTGTAAAGTGACCTCGTGAGTGGGAAAACCCGAACTCCACCCGGATCTGATTACGGATTGTTCGTTTTATGGCTCTACTGGCATAAGCCATGTTCTGATTGAAATATAGGTTACGTTTCTGATAAGATCAAACTTCATGCAGAAATATTAGTGAGTTCCAATAATTGTTGGAGTTTTCTGATTTTCTAATGTTATGTTATGGTGTTCTGATTGGCCTTACGAATTTCCTAATAGTGGCGATACAAATCACATTCAAATATCTCTATTATTCATTGAAAAGAGAACATTTTTCAAGAATGTTCAGTTTTTGGAACAACTCCTTTTCTGCTTTCTACTTCTCCATCAATATATAGAAATTAGAATGTTTTCAAAAAAGGGAAAACAAATGCAGGAAGCTACAAATAAATTTATTTCAAAAATGAAACGAAGCAAGTGTGTTTTATTTATCGAACAACAAATATTCGTAGTAGAATTGAAACAGAAATCATACCCAGAAACAATACACACATAATCTTTGACGCAAATTATGATTAAAAAAAATAGTTTTGTAAAAATAAGGTTATTGCTTAAAAACGGACTTTTTGAATTACCATTTTTTTCTTCCACTTGTGATTAATATTAAGGACCATTTTTTAAATCATAATTTATCTTGCTCTTAGATAACTAAAAAAACTTTGGTTTTATGTATTTTTCCATTTTACTTTTTTCTATGTATTTTTTCTCTTTCTACACAATGTGACAAGAACAACCATGTATTATTTCTACAGAAAAAAATATGTGCGCCGAGTATTTCCTAACTACGGTACACCCCTGACTTTTTTGTAGTTTTTTCGTAGCTTGTGTTTTCTTCATATCAAGCTTCGTTTTCGAAAAATAAATCACCTCTAAGAACTCCTAAGAACACCCTGTATTTTATATCGAATAGTGAAAATTCTGTTTCCTTCATTCCATAATTGTCACCTGGTTTTTCATGTTTAAACTTATTATAACTTATAAACTAATGGAGATACAATAATGAAACTCGTGACTTATTTATTATCTATTAAGCAAAGAACAAGTTTAACTCAAAATTCAAACTTTTACCCAATTGCCAAATGTATATGGAGCTGCTTAGGGTCTGATCTGAGTTTCATAAAGCATCAAAAGTTGCTGGAGTTTGTAAAGTTTTCTGAGCTTTATAAAGCTTCAAAAAGATAAGAAACGATAGTGTCCGCTATAGGATATTTTCATATCTTGGTAAACCCACAAATAATCTGAGGTTACGTGGAAGAACAGTTGAGCAGTTATTTGCATAGCTGCGAAAGTTAAAATAAATTAGCCTTTTGCCATAACTTTTTATATGTAGATCAGGAATATAGGAGTTGATTGCGGCTCTTGTCCAAAACTTTATATTGGCCATACAGGGAGAACTTTCTCTCAAAGAATTAAAGAGCATAGAAGTAGTTTTTTGAATGTTAAGCTCAATTTCACATTTGCAGGGACATGAGTTCGATCACGATTGTGATATGTTACATTAATAGTGTTTAGAAACAAATATGAGTTTGAGAATTCGGGTCATTTACTGAATGTCTACATAGAATTAAATAACACATAAGCTCAGTTAATTTCACCCATTACATGTTTATTCACACGAGTTTGTACACGTTCTCTTCTTTTTCTTTTCATTCTCAAAAGGTATACATTTTTTAACATTAAATGGTTAGGTAAAACTCAGGTACTTAAAATTCAGGTACTTCAGATTGTAAAAATACAGGGTGTTCCTTAAACACATGCTAATATTTAAGGAGGTAATTCTTAGACCCATTTTATGAAAAAAACTTTCTATGGACGTATGTCCTAAACGCCTTAACTTTTGAGATACAGGGTGGCAAAACTTTCAAAAATAATCAGTTACTGAGATAATTTTGTAGACATCTTTGGCATATTTGGTACATATGTTCCGTGCCTCAAGGCGCATTTTCTGATGTACAATTTTCTTAATTTTCTCTGCCAGTGGCGTACGTACGAGTTTTGAAATGTATATTTTTGGCGAAAAAAATACTACGCCACTGCTTTATCTTGAATTAAAAATTATTTTTAAAA